AAAGATGTTACTATTTTGATTCCCTAGCTTTTGTTTGTTTTTAAAAGATGATTTGTAATAATTCTTTGTGCTCTTAAACCATAAAAGAAACAACAAATATACTTCAGAAAAATTGCAAAATATAGAAAGTCAGAAAGAAAAAGTAAGATTAACTATGGTCCTGCCATTAAACATATATGGGTTTGTTTGTTGGTTTATTTGTTTCCTGCTTTTTTTCTCCTATGCATTTTAGTGGTCTCTCTCTCTTTTTTTTGCACTTATGATCACATAACTTTATGAAAATTTACTCAGTGTGTATTTTGTGAAAATTTTCCTGTTATAATGAACTCTTTAAAAGCATTATTTTAAATATATAGCTTCATAAAATACTACCATCTAGTTGTACCAAATTTTACTTATGTGTTCTATATTGAGGCAGTAGTAACTGTTTTAATTTATTGCTGTTATAAACAATACTGCAGTGAACATTTTTTTCCACAACCATTTTTATAACTCAAATAGTCTCTTTATGATTGATTTCCAGAAGTACATTACAGATTATGAATTGTTTTGAGGCTCTTGAGAAGTTTCCAAATTATTTTCCAGAAAGTTTTAATTTATTTGTACTCTCAGATAAAGGTTTTGAAAGGGTCTGTTTTACAAACATGCACTAATATTATTATAATGGTTTTAATAGGGATATAATGGACATTTAATAAATAATCCAATATTTTCAGATTATTACCAGCTAGAGTTTAATGAATGTATGTTATTATGTATCTTAAATAGGCTGAATTAAATTATATGAAGATTTTTTATTTGTAGGTTTTTAAAATTTAGTGAGGCTACACATTTTTTCTATTTGAGAAAGACTATTCCAACTTCAATTTTTACAAAGTTCTTAATTTGTTCAAGTATTGCACATGTGACCATACACAAGGTGGTCTATTTGATTTTATCCAGGGTTGAAGGGTATCACAAAGAACACAAGTAGACTGGGTCATCCCATTCCAGAGAATCACTATCTAGTCAGGGTTAGTTGTTAACTATCACATTTAGATTGCTTCTAATAGAAACTACCTGGGAAAATGGGAACTACCTGGAAACTAGCTGGGAAAGTGAGACAAGGATTAAATGAAAGGAAAATATCTGGTTTTCTGGAGTTGAGCCATTTTCAAAAGACATAATGGTGTATAACAGTGCAGGTTTTCAGAAATAGATTCATTTCATGACCCAACTATCAGGCTGAGTGGAGAGAAACTGAACTAACAGCTTATTAAATTACATCTAAATTCAAATAAATGATCATTGGAGTAACTATATAATGAACAGGAAGCACAGAAATTTTGAATATAGTACAATTAGTTAATTTGAAAAATGAAATTGATTATATTTTTTCTGTGTAAGCAAAGAGAAACTACATACAGTTATCTACAGCATCTAAGCTCTCATCTTATAGAATGTTGAGAATTCACACGTGGACTGCACCTGGACTCTGCCCTAGCATATCTCTTTAGATCAGAAATACCTACCGAGCACAAGCAACTCAATGCCCAAATGGAGGATTGAAAAAAGAAATGTCACTCAAAACTCACAATTAGAAGGGTCTCAATGGCAAAATCATTTTAAAAAGTCAACAACCGAAATGTTTCCCACATATCTCTTATTTTCACAGTCCATTTACTCTTTCCCTCCTTCATCTTATTTTCCGGTTTTCTGATAATGTTTGCTCCTGGGAGAGAGAAAGGAAGGAGTAGGTGAATGCACATGTTTGTACAATGGGTTATAATATTCCCATCTTACAAATTAGTACTTTTTGTTTACCCTGTCCACATTACTTTGCATATTGCTTATCCTTATTTCTTACTACTTCACAGGCTCCTTTCCATCTACAGTAGAAGAGAATATGGAGTTAACAATATATTTTCTTAGTTTAATAACTATTCTTAGGCTTGAGTTTCAAAGGGTATAGTCTTCTTATCAATTTTTCAAGCTTGTGGATTGTGGATGTCAATATATCAAAATATATTTTCTTCTCATAGAACTTGAATGTATTTAAAGAAAACAGCTAGCATGTGAATCTTCTTCACATCAAGCTAGAGTGTTACTGATTCCTAGGGCAGCCTGGACCATGGAGCAGTTAGTTACTTGTTTTGTCAGAGAAGGCATTATGATTCAGGATTGTGTACCTAATTACCTCCATTTTTTAAGCAAACTCATCTCTAGGAGTTATGACAGGAGTGCATATGGCTCCTTATGTGGCCATGAGAATGTCAGGTTACCTCAGCTTGTGTATGAAGTGAGAGCATTCTTTTCTTTATTTAATTGAACTTTTTGTAGTTTTGACTTTGGAAGTCACATCTCAGTATGTTATGAGAGAATCAAAGTTTACACAAAGTTTTGTAGGAACTCAACTGGTAATGATACTTCCAATGACTAGCCATCTTTAAAAGCAGTCGATGTGGTTACAAACTGTTATAACTGTGCCATTTTTTAGTTCTGATACAAGTGGAATTCATATTATCAAACTATTGTAATGATTATTGCAAAAAATTGGAAACTTACTTTTTGAGTAACTTACTAATTTCTGTTCATTTGTTCCCTGTTGTTAGTTCTTGATTTCCTTAGACCTCAACAATTGGAACATTAAGTCCACTTTGCTAGGTAAGTTAAGTAGCAAAACTGGACCTGCAGATCCAGTGTTGAACTAAGACATTCCCTTCTAAGAAATGTAGGAGTAAGAAGACTGTGTGTTGGGATAGATGGGAAGTAGGAGTGCGTCTGACAGAGTGCTTATTGGTTACCTCTCTGCTGCTAACCAGCTACGTGACTCTGTACAAATTAACTTGCCTTTTGGGGTTCTTCTGTCCACATTTGTACAAAAAGGGACTGAATTCATGTTTTCAAAATTTCACACTCGAACATTTTTAAATTCCACAATACAGATCTTAATACAGTATCCCATCCACTATTTCCCATAATCCTTTACTTTTGTGTGGTCCCTTTAGGGAACAACAAAAAATAGGTGTTAGGCTTTCAAGGGCTTACCTGCTTTCTGGTGCTGTATCTAATGTTTTAATCTAATTGTCCTGGTTAAGTTCAAAATGAAAGGGTCAATGTTAGTTCCTTTTGGGAAATTTGTCCCGAAGGTATCAGAGGTTTCTCCTGTTAATCTCCTTACCCAAACCCATTCCTAGGAGCTTTAAAACCGCCCCCCTTAAAAAAAAATTGAACACAAAACTACACATCCCATGAGTCAAAGGAGGAGCTGCTTCAACCTCTCCCCGCCCTCTTGAATGTAGTCCGCTAAAACTCCGGTCGAGGCATCCTGCAATATGCCTGACAGAAACGTCAGCTGTTCCGTCCCGGCCAGGCGGTGCCCTCCCTGGGCTCCTTTAAATCGGAGCCTGAGGGTGAGGAAGGATCCGGCGCGACGCAGCGCGGGATGGGCGTGGACGCAGCATCACCTGTTCCGAGCGAGGCATGCGCACAGCGCGGGCGCGCGCCAGGAGGCGGGGTGCGGTGGGAGGGGCGGGCGGTGCCCGGCTGGCACAGAACTGCTTCTCCCCGGCTCGGGGCGCCGAGGCGGCGTCGGGGAGGTGTCCAACATGGAGGAGGCGCCGGCCGCGGGCGTCACCTGCGAACGGGACTAATCCCCGCCTGGCGCTCCGGCCGGCAGTGCCGGCTCCCGAGCCCCGGGGCTCCGTCGCCTGCACACCCCGCGGCGGACTCCGGCTCCGGCTGCGCGCTTCCAGACGCGGACGTCCGCAGCGCGAGGAGGGAGCGCGGCGGCCCCGAGTCTCCCCGAGCCATGGGCAACGAGGCGAGCTTGGAAGGGGAAGGGCTCCCTGAAGGACTGGTGGCGGCGGCGGCAGCGGCCGGAGCAGGGGCTGGCGGGGCGGGGAGCCCCTTGCACACTGGGATCCCGGCCGGCATGGAGGCGGATCTGAGCCAGCTGAGCGAAGAGGAGAGGAGACAGATAGCCGCTGTCATGTCAAGGGCGCATGGGCTGCCCAAGGGAAGCGTTCCCCCGGCCGCTGCGGAGTCGCCTTCCATGCACAGGCACGCGCAGCATGATGTATATGTCCGGGCATATATGTACAGCTTCCCGTGCACATATGCCAGCCCGTATGTGCCAGCACGGCAGTACATATATGTCGCCTCCGTTCCTTTTATTCTCCCTAATGGGGTGGCGATAAAGAGATCATAAGCCTTCTGATGGGTAGAATAAAATGATGCCTTGTAGAGTTTTTGGTGGGATAGTCAAGGGTTGCATCTTGGAACAGTGATTTTAGGTTGTGATTTTTGGCCTTTTGGAACCTTTTCCCACTAGGTTGGCGTGGAGAGACGCCCTCCAGTGTTTTACTAATCTGGAAGTCTTCATTAATACAAAACGGACGTGTTGGGAAGTAGATAGAGCTAGGTGTTTACCTGTCTCTGTTTAAACCTCCTCAGTCATTTCGGGGTCATTTTCTCTATTAATGATGTCTACATAGTTCTCTAACAATATCTTAATTTCCCTGGAGGTGATTTGTCCTTCCTTCCCATCTCACCCCCAGAGGAGAATAGGAACCGTTTAGATAGAAGATATAGAATGAATACACCTTTTATATTCAGCCAGGAACCCTAAAATATGTTGTGGCATTAAATAGATGGCTATAGGAGCTTTAAAACCGCCCCCCTTAAAAAAAAATTGAACACAAAACTACACATCCCATGAGTCAAAGGAGGAGCTGCTTCAACCTCTCCCCGCCCTCTTGAATGTAGTCCGCTAAAACTCCGGTCGAGGCATCCTGCAATATGCCTGACAGAAACGTCAGCTGTTCCGTCCCGGCCAGGCGGTGCCCTCCCTGGGCTCCTTTAAATCGGAGCCTGAGGGTGAGGAAGGATCCGGCGCGACGCAGCGCGGGATGGGCGTGGACGCAGCATCACCTGTTCCGAGCGAGGCATGCGCACAGCGCGGGCGCGCGCCAGGAGGCGGGGTGCGGTGGGAGGGGCGGGCGGTGCCCGGCTGGCACAGAACTGCTTCTCCCCGGCTCGGGGCGCCGAGGCGGCGTCGGGGAGGTGTCCAACATGGAGGAGGCGCCGGCCGCGGGCGTCACCTGCGAACGGGACTAATCCCCGCCTGGCGCTCCGGCCGGCAGTGCCGGCTCCCGAGCCCCGGGGCTCCGTCGCCTGCACACCCCGCGGCGGACTCCGGCTCCGGCTGCGCGCTTCCAGACGCGGACGTCCGCAGCGCGAGGAGGGAGCGCGGCGGCCCCGAGTCTCCCCGAGCCATGGGCAACGAGGCGAGCTTGGAAGGGGAAGGGCTCCCTGAAGGACTGGTGGCGGCGGCGGCAGCGGCCGGAGCAGGGGCTGGCGGGGCGGGGAGCCCCTTGCACACTGGGATCCCGGCCGGCATGGAGGCGGATCTGAGCCAGCTGAGCGAAGAGGAGAGGAGACAGATAGCCGCTGTCATGTCAAGGGCGCATGGGCTGCCCAAGGGAAGCGTTCCCCCGGCCGCTGCGGAGTCGCCTTCCATGCACAGGCACGCGCAGCATGATGTATATGTCCGGGCATATATGTACAGCTTCCCGTGCACATATGCCAGCCCGTATGTGCCAGCACGGCAGTACATATATGTCGCCTCCGTTCCTTTTATTCTCCCTAATGGGGTGGCGATAAAGAGATCATAAGCCTTCTGATGGGTAGAATAAAATGATGCCTTGTAGAGTTTTTGGTGGGATAGTCAAGGGTTGCATCTTGGAACAGTGATTTTAGGTTGTGATTTTTGGCCTTTTGGAACCTTTTCCCACTAGGTTGGCGTGGAGAGACGCCCTCCAGTGTTTTACTAATCTGGAAGTCTTCATTAATACAAAACGGACGTGTTGGGAAGTAGATAGAGCTAGGTGTTTACCTGTCTCTGTTTAAACCTCCTCAGTCATTTCGGGGTCATTTTCTCTATTAATGATGTCTACATAGTTCTCTAACAATATCTTAATTTCCCTGGAGGTGATTTGTCCTTCCTTCCCATCTCACCCCCAGAGGAGAATAGGAACCGTTTAGATAGAAGATATAGAATGAATACACCTTTTATATTCAGCCAGGAACCCTAAAATATGTTGTGGCATTAAATAGATGGCTCGGTCACAGCAGAGCAGGTACTGTACGTGCATTAACGAATTAGTATATGCTATTTTTTAAAACATTGCTTTTATATGCAAAACTGTCTTATGGTTTATGGAAAAACATGAATTTGTGTAATCTTAATATTAGTTTCCAATACATTTAAAGACAAACGACAACTTGCACAGGTAAATTAAGAACTAATCTGTAATACTAACGTGTTAATTTCCCTCTCTAGCTTTCCATTTTCCTTCATCCTAATAAATTAGTAGTTTTCTAATTAGATTACTAAAAGGGTGTAATCATTGTGCTTACCCTGCCTTTATTATTGTAAACAAACCGTTTAACTTTGCACCCTCCCTTAGAGAACTGTTCTCTGTCCATGGTTCTGAAACCATTCCTGCTTTAAGGTGAAGGGAAACCTATAATTTTCATTTGATACTGAAAATACAAAAGATATTGATATATCTGTGTAGATTCTCACCCTACTTCATAAGAAAAACATTTTAACTTAGAATTTATATAAGTGTATATGTATAACTTTGTCAAATATTTATGCTAGTAAATCTAATAGAGGAGAAATGTAAAATATTGCATGGATAATGGCAATATTGTCTACACAAAATCTTACGTACCTAATATCTATCAGGTAAAAACGCTATTTTTTTTGGAATGAAACCACCCTTGCTAGTAAAACCTAGCTCCTTTGTATTGAATAATTTTTTTCTGTGATTTAAACTAGGAATATATTGAGCCATTTCTTTAGTACAAAGCCTTTCTTATCCATTATCTTAAGCAGCTTATGATATATACTTTTTTTCTCTACTAATGAAAACCCGACTTGGAAAAAAATTCGAGTGTTCATGTACTAGATTTTCATAGGTTAACAACGAGGTCTAATACTTTTATTAGCCTTTCAGAAATGTATGCCAACTCTTCTGCAGTGTTTCCTAAGAAGCACAAGCAACAGGTTTAGCATGCTGGTTTACCAAGAAAAGTATAAGCTTTGATTTCTAAATTCCTAAATTTTCTTCTGATCAGAGGGTGACTGAAAAATATTTCAGCCTATGACACTATGTATGGTTTTATGCAGTATTTGCATCAGATAACGTACTTTTAAAGCTTTTTATTGACAGTTTTGTTATGGTAGAATTCTTATTAATTGGTAATCTATTAATTGGCCTAAATAATTATTAGTGAAAGCTTCATCTAAATATATAAATACTGTGTTTCTGATGTTTGCAATCTGTTTATATTTTACTGAAAGATACCTAAAAACACATTTGACTTTTGGAAAGTTACCCCAATATGTGATAACCAAAGAAACATTGGTTTGTCATTTAGATTTTAAGAAACACAGTAAGTATATATAAGAAAAATATTAAGATTACTTGAAAATTTAGAGGTTAAGTGGTATGAATTAGACATGGTAATTTTTTTTAAAGAAATATGAATTGACAACCCAGAAGCCTAGTTTCTTACCCTATTAATTTTAACTGACTCATGGCAAATTGTATGTTTCTCAGGTATATGTGCCTCAGTTTCCTTGCCTGTAAATAAGACAAGTGATACTTGTTCTATCTTGTAGAGTCATTCTGAGGGTCAATTAAATATTGACATGGATATTTTTGTTTGAATTTTAGTTTGAAGGACCCCTATAAATATAAAGAGTAGTAATATCAATATTAGCAGTGAATGGCATTGGTGATGTTGGCTACAGACAAGTTGTATGTTCAATTATTCATTGTTATGAGTTATTTTGAGTGTCTGTATTCTTTTACATATGGAGATGTCAGTATAGTGTAGTGAAAACCCCCTCCCTCTCCCCACACCCTCCTCAGGAATCAGTACAGCATATTTCTGTAATTAGTTTTATAATCTTAAAATAACATCTTAGCCTCTTTGAGTCCTAGTATCCTCCTCAGTATAAAAATGAATAGGTATTCCTAAAGTTGGTTATATTTCTAATGCTATGAAATTTTATGTGATTCAGCACTGTCAAGTGTCATTGCCTATTGTGCTACATTAAAAATATTTTAGCATTCCAAGTTACTTTTACATTTTTATACTTGAGTACATGTTTGTATCATTTTATAGCTAAAACATTTTCTGCTAACCTGTGAAAGAAAAATTCTAATCTGGGAATGACTAGTAAAATGAAAAAGGATTATTATAAAACATGGGTAGTTATAAGCTAGAAGTTACAGGTTACAAATGAGATGCTCCTGGATATTTCATTCATCGTAGACCTAGGGAAATACAATTTTATTTCTTCTGCTCATTCTGTTCACAACTACAGATATCTCATATGAGAATAGCTTTACTGCAAAAACACTTCTGATTGGTAGAAGATTATATAAGAATTCTGTCTGGATTGATTATTTTCTTTAGCATTCCTTTGGACCTTCTCTACTGGGAAGATACCTCCAGATCTATTTTTCTTCTTATAGCAGTCCAGGTTCTAAAATGAATATGGAATTGCCATTTGTATCTCAGAAGTCCTGGAGAAGAATATGAAGTATTCAAGAAATATTAACTTAGAACAAAACAAAAACCTAATATGTTCATTCACTCACTCATTATTATTCATTTATTTGTTCATTCATCCAACATTAATATTCATCTAACTGGTTACCAAGTTTGGTTCTAGTGATGCAAAAATGAGTGAAACCGGTTCTCTCTCTTTTGAGTCAGTCTGGTACACACACAAGTCACAGGTTGCGTTTTAGTCATTTTTCTTTTTAACAGAGCAACTGTTATGCCAAACAAAAATTCACCCATATTTGAGTTAGTCTTAGTTAGCTAAGACATCTTTATATTTTTGTTTGATATTAAGTCTATGTCCTCTCTTAATGATTGTCTACTATTTCTTACTCCTAGATTTACGTTTTTTATATTTTATGTTTACATAAAAGGACATTTTACATTTATTTATATGCTTAGAGCAATGAAACTAAGTTTAAATTGTAGGGTAGTCTTTATAGATACATAGGTATTTTCTCACAGGGGAATGCTATTATGTGGCACAGCTTATACTTGTAAGGAGTACTTGTGATAATTTCTGATGCAAGCAGCTTGCTTTAAATTTTGGTGTTTATTGTTAGCTCACATGTTTAGTACTTGGTTTATTTTTTGTTTTGTACGTGTGTTGGATTAAGTGAAATAATACTGCAAACACTGATTAAGGTTAATAGTATTTTTAAGAGAGGACAATTTTGTTAAATTAATAGGTTTTTTTAGTACTCTGTTTATAGATTTCTAGAACTCTGTACATGGGAGTTGATTCAATAAAATTCCTAAATAATTACTTATAGGATAGTCACTTCCATAATGTAGTCTCTAGGCATGTGCCCTTCAAGGAAGTATTAGATTTTATTCATTGAATGTGGAATATTTCTAGAAAAATGTGAAATCTAAGCAGTAAACGTTTTTTTAAAAAATTATTTTAAATTGTTTTATTATGGCTCTTCTGCCTTCAGCACATAGGGAGGCCTATAAAGAAACATTTAAAATTATTTTCCCCAAATGAAAGTAAATAACAATGCATTTAAAAAGATATCTTAGAACTGTTGGAATTAGGGTAATAATTTAATTCCCTTTTTAAGTAAAACCTTCAGAGACACCAAATATCTAAAGATTTTGTAACGTTTTCTTGCAGGAAATTGCAAGAACTAAGAATTCTATTCATCTTTTATTGGAAAAGAACTTTGTGCATACATTGCCATTTATAGATTATTTCCATTTTGATCATTTGTGATTTAGAAGTCATAATTCTGTTTCTTCCCACTATACCTTACATCTTAACGTAATCACAAATTTCTTTGTCATTAGGGGAATTTCAAAAACTTAATTCACATTAAGACCAAATGATCTGAAATAAAAAATTTATAGTCTAGTCTATTGCCAGGTAAATTTTGACAAAACAAAACTTGTAGAACTTTACTGTGATCATCTCGTATTTTAGGTGCTACTGAATCACTGTTTATTTCTTCTTTTAATTTTTAAGTAATGGAATCTTTCACAAAATTGAAAAGCCAGATATATCAAACAACACACTTATAATTTGATTTTTCCCCAAACTTTTAATACAGTGTGTTTTTATTAGTTCCAACTTTGTCAGTAAAGAATGGGTTATTTAAAAAATTAATGTGCTTTGTTTTTAGCTACATATATATATAAGAAACAGCTATTTTAATTATTTAACCACAGTCATTTAAAATCTGTCATGTTTCCAAAACTATTTTTAAAAATTCATCTTGTATATTTGTCTATGAATTACAAGAAATCTTGCAAATTTATTACTTGTTACATATTTAAATCAGTATCGATAATAAATAATGTTACTAATAATCTAACAGTGGCAGTAGTAAACATTGTAGAAAACACTAAGAGATCATTATATATCGTCATCATCTGAGGAAAATAACAATGCTTTTCAAAAGTGGCTTCACAGCCAGCTTATCACTTTATGCATACCAGGCTATATCTCAAGATGGTTTAAGCATCTGTTGTTACTTTGCATAGAGATCTCAGATTAAGAATTAACTATTGGAAAAGTAATTAAAAGATATAACACTATTCTTCCACAAGCAAGATGGAATTGTTTCAAAATTTCTAACTAATTACAGTAGGAACTCTCATCCTATGAAGTTTATTAAGGATAATATTTGATGAACACTACCTTTTTAGGCAGTCTGTGGTAAAGGCATTGTGTAGCCTCTTTACTAGAAACTCCCCTGATGTCAGGTTGTGTGCTTTGCATAACTCATAAAAATTCTAGTAATTGAGTAAAAAAGTTGCAGCAAAATCCTGTATTTAAAATGAATAATTTTACTTCTCAGTGTTGTATTTGGGAGACATTCTTTGATGATAACTTTTGATCAAAAAGGACACATCTTATGAACCTGAATATTCTGGTATTGCATGAATTTATTGAGTTAATATATTTAATTAGTGTTTAAATATGGCTAGATTTTATGAAGTGTAAATCTAAGTTTTATTACAGGTTATTTCTAACTAGGTATCTTAGTTTTCATCACTCATATTAGCAATTATTGTTTTTACCCCCTTTTCTTTACCTCCTTGTTGAAAGTCTCTACTCAGGTAAAGAAAGTAACAGACATTAAAAGGTTTATGATCACTTAGAGGATAGACCAAAAATGGATTCAATTTCATTTATATATTCATAACTTTGAGGATATAAAAAAGTAGTAGCCTTTTAATATTTTTCCGAGTTGGGATAATTTCCATTATTTCACTTGTCTTTATCTCACTCTTCTAGGAAACAAGAGCTGGATAGTAGTCACCCTCCAGTGCAACCGGGCAAAACACTGGGCCCTGGGCGTCCAGCTCAGCCTGGCCTCAGTAAAAGCAGAACTACAGATACTTTGAGATCAGAGCAGAAACTGCCTGGAAGGAGTCCTTCCACAATCAGCTTGAAAGAATCAAAGTCCAGAACTGATTTTAAGGAAGAGCACAAGTCTAGTATGATGCCTGGCTTCCTCTCAGAGGTTAACCCTCTAAGTGCTGTGTCCTCTGTTGTAAATAAATTCAATCCTTTTGATTTGCTATCAGACTCTGATGTATCCCAAGAAGAAGCCACCAAGAAACAGAAATTAGCTCAGAAGGAACAAGGAAAACCTGAAGGAATCATAAAGCCTCCATCACAACAGTCACCCAAGCCGGGTCCTAAGCAGCAAGGACCTGTGAGGGCCCCATTGGAGCAGGATGGCCCTCCCAAGTCGGTATCTTCTCAGCAACCAGAGAAGATGAAAACACAGCCTCCAGGGACAGGAAAGTCAGTTCAGGGGCCTCCCCAGCCTCCTCAGACAGACCAGGCAAAACTGCCACTTCAGAGAGATGCAGCGATACCTCAGACTAAACAGTCAGACACGGTCAGAGGAGAATCGGTTAAACCCTCAGTGCAAAGCCCATCCAAACCACCTCTTCAGCAAGCAAGTCCTGGGAAACCTCCAGCCCAGCAGCCTGGACCTGAAAAACTTTCCACACCACAACCTGGGTCTGCAAAACCTTCAGCAGCAAAGGCTTCAGCCCAGCCACCAGGAACTGCAAAGCCTGCCATTCAGCAGCCTGGGCCAAAGTCTGTAGCACAGCCTCCTGCAAAGGCCCCAGTGCAACAGCCAGGGCCACCGAAATCTCCAGCTCACCACCCTGGCCCAGCAAAGGCGATGGCTCAGCAGCCTGGGCCAGGAAAGACTCCTGCTCAACAGGTTGGCCCAGCAAAGCTCCCAGCTCAGCAGCCCGGCCCGGCAAAGCCCCCACCTCAGCAGCCCAGCCCGGCAAAGCCCCCACCTCAGCAGCCCAGCCTGGCAAAGCCCCCACCTCAGCAGCCCAGTCCGGCAAAGCCCCCACCTCAGCAACCCAGCCCGGTGAAGCCTCTTCCTCAGCAGCCCGGCCCGGCGAAGCCCCCACCTCAGCAACCCGGCCCGGCAAAGCCCCCTCCTCAGCAGCCTAGCCCGGCGAAGCCCCCACCTCAGCAGCCCGGCCCAGCAAAGCCCCCTCCTCAGCAGCCTGGCCCGGCGAAACTCCTTCCTCAGCAATCTATAAAACCAGTAAGCCAAATAGGAGCTGGGAAACCTCTGCTGCCACTAACTTCTCCATCTGCAGCACAGACTCCAGTACAAGGCCTCCCTAAAACCATCTGTCCTCTTTGCAATACCACTGAACTTCTGTCGCATGTTCCAGAAAAGGCCAATTTTAACACATGCACTGGGTGTCAAACTACTGTCTGTAGCCTCTGTGGTTTCAATCCCAATCCTCACTTAACTGAGGTGAGTGCATTTATTCATTGCGTCCGTGGTCTGAAACTGTATCATCATCTTCCACAAATGGCACTTAGCTTATTGCTGATATCATAGAATGGCATTGTTTTTCTCTGGTTCTTCCTTTCTTTTCCTCTTTCCTTCTTTTTCTTCTCTGGCAATTCTAAATTAGATTTTTTAAAATGTTTTCTCCAATTGTAAGCCTAAAATATTGCCACAGTTTCTGGTAAATTTGGTATGGAAGCAAATATAAACTGATTGAAAGGTGCTGAGCATTCATTCATTGCATTCTATCTCTAAGATCCACATAATTTATTATTTAGTATGCAGTGATATTACTTTAACTTTTGAAGTCATGCTGTTGCCTAGGAGTAAGAGTATTCTTAACTGGGATCATATTTGTGTTGGTAAGAAAGTGGGCAGTGTTTTCAAATTCTGAATACTATTTTAATATTAAATTGAATACACTTTTTCAAACTGCACATCCCCTTTCCTTGCTAGTAATTTTAATGTGGGCATGCTTCCCTCATTAGTTGAGAGTCATTAATAACAGCATAAGTCAGGGCATAAAATGAAAAAGTACGTAGAGCAGGTTCACTACTGATGGGTATCTTCTCAGATGAATTACAGTTTATATCTCCAAGTCAACTGATAAAACTTCCTGAAATATCTAATCATAAAGAGGCCAAGTTCAGGGTTCTGACTGAGGATAGAAAAGTAAGTCTCAGGAAATCAATTAATGATAACACTACTCTTCAAGCCCTGAATAAAATAGGATTTTAATTTGTAGAGATTTGGGGACATTGGGAGGGACAAAAAGCCTAAAAGAGCAGGAAAATTCAGAAATTCTCTGGAGTTAGGAAATAATACAGTAAAGATGGGATAAGGATATAAAGTGAGAACCAAGAGGCTTAGGATTTAAAACAATACATTTTTTAAAAAAGAAACCTGATAGCTCTATCTGATGAGAAGGCCCAGAAACAATTTAGTCCATCTGGAGGACAGTTGTTAGTGGGCTGTGTATGCATTATGTCTGCGAACAGCCCAGGAAGGAACTGACAGCAGGCAATGGAGGATTATGTGATTTAAATATCCCCGAGAGAGCAGACTTGTGTACCCTTGTTATAAAAATGAAATCTATTTTATGATAATAACAGTGATGATTATTGGTAGCTGTTATATTAGCTTGGATACATAACTGTGATGAAAGATGAAAATGATGTACATTTAAAATGTGTCAAGTTCCAATTGTTTTCAAAGGCATCTTTTACTCTGTTAACCAAAAGTACTATCGCATGCCTTAACTTTTTAAATAAGCCATTCTTTGATGATTAAATTGCAGTTTGTAAAAACATGCTGTGTTCAAGTTAAGGGGGCATCAGATTATAAGTAGTTATATGTATATTTGTAGTTTTTAAATTTTGGAAGAGATATGTTTCTGTCCATAGTATACTGTCGTTTGGTAAGAGTATGCAGTAATAATGATTTCAAACAGATTATTTTATAATACATTTGTCAGATATTTGTGGCAATTAATGAGGCAGAAACATGCAGTTAGACTTGAGTAGCTTCTAAATGGAAGATATTACTACATGTTTGGTAGAATATAAAGACAGCTAAAACATTAACACATAATGCTGGTCTTAACTTGATCAGAATATATTAGATTAGGTAATATATGCAAAGGAAAATAATATGTGGTCAGATGATAAGAGCTGTGAGAGATATGAACAAATATCATGGACATCAGAGCAGGAAGTATCATTGTGAGTGGGTGAGATTAAGGAAAGCTTCATGGAGAAAATGGTATTTGAGCTAGGTTTATAAGGATGGATACTACCTCAACAGATAAAAGACATGAAAGGGAGTGATCATGTGGTTCAAGACCTAGAGCCAGAATAATGCAGGGTATATTTAGGGAAACAGAGCTAAATCTGGGTTGGCTAATGTGGTGGGGAAGAAAGAGGCAATGAGATTGAAGAGAAGTTGAGGTCAGATTTTGGCCTTCCACATTTATCAAGTCGTAATGAGTATTCTTCTTTATTTAACTTACTGATTAATGTCATACATTTGATTCTTCATTCATTTGACAAGTTTGTATCAAGTACTGAGTTGTGAAGAACCAGTGAGTGCTATGACAGAATCAGGTATTCACTAGATATGGGCTATTCATTCCTTCAATCAGAAATAAGAGAAATAAAAGTTGTATATAAGAAAGAAAAATATATAAAGATAGATAGGAAAAATAACTTTGTGCAGGGCTTTACAGTTCACATAGTTGTTCTCTATTTGTTTTATCAAAATTAAATGTCCAAGTAATTCTATGGGCATGTATTCTGTTTTCTTACTAATGAGAAAACTGGTGTGAAGTGGTTACTGTGCTTAGTTTACTTGTTAGGATCACCCTGATAGTAAATAACTAAGCAGAACACAAACCAAATCTTCTGATTCCAAATCCATGTGCTTATGGTAGGAAGAGAGATAAAGTGCTGTGAGATCAAAGGAAGAAACCATCACTGTCAGTGGGGTATATCACAACTGTCTTCATGAAAACAGATGTACTTGAGCTGAGAATGTCAAAAATAGTTAGAATTTGAACACATGTGAAAGGAGTTGGGAAAGCGGTCAGGAAAGCATCCTACACTTTCTGTAACAGTTTCATTTGAAAAATAAAAATAATAACATGTTGTCTGCCCAAAACACTGAGTTGTTAGGATTAACTGAGCATTCATATGAGAAGGTTACTTTTAAATACATGAAGAGCTTTTGAAGTTGTAATATAACCCAGTATGGATAATCTTAATATTTTAACAGATTTGACATGTAAATTTCACTATCAATTTGTTTTCTGTATAGACACAATATAACAAATTCTTGGGTTCTGAGATAGCAGTCAAAAGCCGTTTGATCTGTAGTATTAATAGGAACATTTCATTTTAACCTTCTCTCCATAAGAAGAAATGCAATTTGAGTTCTAGTTCTGAGCTCTAGGAGGGAATCTTTTCTCATCCTGTTCACCAAATGGCCAGTTCCTCAAACTCCTGAATTATCAGATCAGAGTTGGAAAGTTAGAGCTTTAGACAGAGGCTAATAACTTCAGTTTCAATAGATATGATAGATGAAATTTTGGGAACAATTAACCACTTCACGCTAGCATATACCCATGAGAAAGTGAACTCTGCATTTTCTGAGGCAGATATAACACTCTGGGTCAGATTGTCCTCATATATTCAGATTGAATAAACAGTTTTTCATTCAGGACAGAAACAGAGACTGGACATTCTTTAGGACTTTAATTTACATGTATTTATTATTTTCAAGTTTAATGTTTATGTGGAAGTAACTCTGTATCATTACTTCTGTAGTCTATGGGTAAAATAGGGTACTGGTGTCTTATATCACTCCTTGAGAAGAGTAGGAGAATGTCTCTGACATTTTTTGTTAGCAACACATCAGAATTATTATTGTATGTGGTTATGAACTTCCTGGCTGTTAAATGACTCCAGGTCTGGGGTGGAAGGACTAGAGAGGTTATTAATACTCAGATACAAGTAAATTTTCCAGCTCTCCCCAACCACTGCCTGTCTGAGACACACACACACACACACACACAGAGGTTATTAATACTCAGATACAAGTAAATTTGCCAGGTCTCCCCAACCACTGCCTGTCTGACACACACACACACACACACACACAC